GTTAATAGTTTTCAATGGAGTGAATGGATAAATTAGTTATTGAAATTGTGAGCATCAATTGAAAAAGTCCTTGATTTTTTCAAATTGACAAATACTGCATATACCTAAAACTATAAAGTATCGGTCATAGCAGTCGGTATGTTAACTTTTATCATTAGGGACTATGCCGTGATATGTTAATGAAATATGCTACTTCTCTACCTTGGTTTCATATCAATGCCAACACATTAGTCAACAATTTCAGTGTTGAGCCGGTTCATATAGAGCATTGCTGTCACTTCATTTAGGCCCCCGCTAATGGATGGTGGAGTTGGTCCTCCGACTTACTCCGTCTTTAGGTTTGATACCGCGTTTAAGAAAAAATAGTGTGGCTACTTTGAATGACATTTTACAGTTTCAGAGATGTATTTGCTAAGTCAAAAAAATAAAAGACTATTTTGACAGATGCTTACAATTTTGATGATTGATTTGTCTATTCAATCTTTTGCAATTCTAGAGATTATTTTGGAATAGTAATAATGGGAAGGACTAGATTGATATGATCTTACAATTTTAGGGGTCAACTTGAGTATTTACTTTTCATTCAAAGCTTATTATTTGATATTCCAACAACTTATTAGAACTTGATATGCTGATATGTTGTATCCAGTATTCGGTAAATTGGTTCAACTTGTTTGTTCATTGCTAGGTATCACCGAAAGCGTGTGGTCACACACAAGGGAGGAAAGTGGTATCGAGAGAAGAGGCGGTTATGCGGATCAAAGCTGCGGTTGATGCCAGAAATGAGAGTGGATCTGATATTGTGATTGTGGCTCGCACCGATTCACGGCAAGCTTTGTCTCTGGATGAGGCACTCTATAGGTCAAGGGCATTTGCTGATGCTGGAGCTGATGTTGTTTTTATAGATGCACTTGCCTCCAAACAAGAGATGGAAGCTTTTTGTCAAGTTTCTCCCCTTGTCCCAAAAATGGTGTCTTTCTATTAAGTTCAAGTAATAGCAAAAGAAAGGGAAATGATATGCAATGCTAATATATATGATTTTGTAGGCCAATATGCTTGAAGGAGGAGGCAAAACACCAATACTCACTCCTCTCGAACTCGAAGACATTGGCTATAAAATTGTTGCCTATCCCCTTTCTTTGATTGGAGTATCTATCCGAGCAATGCAGGTGACATGCCCTCCCCTTCTTTAACTATAATAATCATTAATTAATATCATATGTGGTCATGATAAGTTCATGAAAGCTTCAACCGTATCTAGGACTGTGTCAACACGATCCCAGACAAGGGACATGTCAGTTATTGAACAATATTAACAATAATTACTCATCCCAAATCCTATATGACAGGCCAAAGCAATTGTATTATAATAATGAGATCTTTTATCTTTAAAAAAAAAACTTTTGTTTATATTTGTTTGAAGTGTTATTATATTTTTATCATTTTAAATAATATCTATGACTGCCTGTGTAGGATTCACTCACTGCTATTAAAGGAGGTCGTATTCCTCCTCCAGGAAGCATGCCATCTTTTGAAGAAATTAAGGATATCTTAGGTTTCAATGCATATTATGAAGAAGAGAAGCGTTATGCTACACGTACCGATCAGCTTCTTTCAAAGAGAGGTTGGAAAGACAAATCTTAATAGAAAAATAAGTAAATAATTAAATAATGGCAGTAGGCTTCTCATATTCAAACACACTCTGCATATTTTATCTTTTTTATGTCATTGAGCATTCTATTCTTGTATTTTCGTAGTAACTACTAATTAGTTATTTATCAGAGAGCAGTAGCCTATACAGTAATGAACAGAGAGACCAAGCTGATACAAAGCAGACGAGTCAAACTATCAACGATCCCATTGTCGAAGTTATAACACCTGATATGTACAATAAATATGGTGCAGATAGTTCAGGGAACCCTTTTTCTGGAATCTGGTCCCGGACTCTGAGAATCAAAATAACGGGCAGAGATGGAGCCGAGAAACTTGATCTTCGGATTCCTGTAAGTGATCAACTCTCCAACTGAACAAAAATAAACGAGAAAATAATGATTTCAACGTGCAATGCATATGTACTTTATCGATCACATTATTTGCTAACCTTTTATGCATGCAATGTGGCATACATCGATCTCACTCTTATGTATTGTGGGTATGCAAATTTTCTATATTATTATGATCAATCAGTTGTTCATCTTTTGATTATGTGTACGATGATCGAGTTTGGTTTGAACAAACTATCTTGTTGAATATTTCTTTAAACATGATTTCATGTTCCGTTTTCTCATAATACATATACTTCGCATACAGGCTGGATTTCTGGATGGAATCACAAACATAGTTCCTGGTACTGTTGCTATTTCAAATTTGTAATTCAATTTCATGTTGAAGTACTTCTTTTCACTATTCGTGTTAGTTAATTTTGTCGCAACTATGCAGCTTTGGTTGGGGTAAACCTCAAAAAACTATTGAATAATGCAACAGAGGAAACCGGGGGAAAACTGTTGGATTTTAATGACAGAATGGGTGACAGGATTCAAGTATTTCTGGAGTAATTCCACCTTGCTTCAGTTTCTCAACTCCAATGGTAATTTTCTGGAGTGATTCCACCTTGCTTCAGTTTCTGTTAGAAATAACAGTTTCTAATGTTTGTTGTTGATGCTGTTCCAGGAAATCAATAGCGCATATTGATGAAGGTGATCGATTGAAGCTAAGGATTCCTAATCGTGGCACAACAGCATGGTTGTAGTGTAAAGTTTAAAATGTCACATGGATTGTCATCCAAATACCAATTAAAGAAACCAGTTAAGTCGCAAACTAAAGTCACAAATGGGAAATTTCTTCAAACAATGTTCAATATCTCTGGAAATTTTGCCTCATTTTCTCAATATTATATTTATGTTTTCTTTGTTCTGGGGGAGAGACCCATCCTTTCCATGGTAGTTCTTAATAACATTAATTATTTTAATTTAGAATCACATAGTTATAACACATATGTGTGCCTTTAGAGGTTTTGAATCAGAACATTAACAAAGAAATGTCTTATTATCTTGCAATGTGTCATTTTGTAGTAAGCATATAAATTATATAAGGGGGTGATTTTCTATGAATGAAACCTCGTATGGAATGCTTTATCCAGAATAAAATAAAAGTAGCATCTTATAAATTATTAATGGTGTTTGTTGTATTAATCCTTGTTAGGGCCCAAGATAATGACTTTACAATTGGAATTGAGGTGTAATAAATCCTTGGTGAGAGATTTTTTAGTGCTGGCTTCCACATGTATTCTCCCTAAAAGAAAATAATTAGATTGTGTTTGATTTAGTTTTGAAATTCTGTTTTTGTTTTTAAAAATTTTTAAATAATAAAATTTGTTTGATTATTTAATTATATAAAATTGTTTTTATAAAACTATCTTCTTTTGAAAATTAAAAAGTTTAAATAGTTTCTTTTTTAGAGATTCTTAGTTTAAATTTTGGAAATTTGGATGACAAAAAAAAAAGAAAAGAAAAAATTATATAATTTTTATTAATGACATTTATAACATTGTGCAAATTTTAAAATGTAAAAAAGAATATATATGTGGACTTATATAATTTTGATTGAATCCACCCTTTGGTATTTTTAGGCGTCTAGGGCATTTTCTTTTATGCTCCCTCCTTTTGGAAATACAAATACATATTCTGACGTACATTGTTTTGTCAAAATTTGGTTATGTTGGAACTATATTCTTTTATACCACTAAATTAGATCATGTATAATGTTGCGCAGGGATAAATAAATTAGAAGTGGTGTTTCCACAGGTCTAAAATTCTAGTTCGTTCACTGGTCTTGCGGTTATTTATATTTAGTGATGGAGAGTAAAAAGCTGGCTGCATATTTTTAAGACCAACTTTTCTTTTGAACCAATAAAGGTTTGGCTACATGCAATCATGCGGAACACTTCGACTTACATTACTTTTAAACAACTGTATACATATTAAAATAAGTGACCTTTAAAATACAACCACGAATATGGGGTTAAAGTACTTTTAAAGAAAATAATCAAAAGTTAAAATTTTGTAAAAGGGACACAAGATTTTGGTGCCTACACGAAAACCGCAGTATATTTGTCACCAAAAATAATGGTAGCACCGCTGACCGCACACCTCAAACTAGAATGATTTGATTAACTAATTATCAAAATTGTGAGTATCTTGGAACACATAGTCTGTGTTTCATGAATGGTAAATATATTCTTGGAAGTGTAACATCATTGAAGGCTACTACTGCAAGTGAAATTATTGGCATGGAGATAATGTGTCAGTTTCAAGCTATGTGAATTTAAATGAAAGATGAATAATCAAACTACTAGAATGAATCATTATGATAATTGATTTTATAATTCAAATTTCAACTATCAAACATGCAAACTAACTAGTAAACATGCAAGTGGGGAATTGATAGATTATAGCCTATACAGATGAACATTTATTCTAACCATGTTCTCTTATGGACACATTAATGAACTCTTAGCATGAAATCAACAAGCTCCAATACATGAAAATAGATAAACCATTTAGTTGGTACCCTTAAAATTTGAGAGAAATGATAAAAGCAAAATGAGAAAAAAGAATATATTAATATATCAAACCACCTGTTGGTGTTCAAAAAAATGAGGAACAGTCAAAGGAAGCAATAACCCAAGTAAGGTTATTCTATCCTGTCACTAGTACACAACACTGATGCTCAACGGTGACCCCAAAAAAGAAAAGAATGGTAATAGCACATTTATATCAAAAATAAACATACACCACGCTGGGTCACTTACTTTACAGAAAATTGCAACTTCAATGATACACCACTATAGAATCCGAATGCTGATAACTTTTAGTGTAAATCCAAATGTCCATGTGAATTACTAGTAGGCAGGCACCCCTGTCGAAATGGCTTCTCTCAGCTTGTATAGCAAAACAATTAACAATACTTGACCTTTTCATCTATAAGAATAATGTTCAATCTCATCTGTATCCACCATAAGGCTGTTGACCATAACCACCCGGACCCATCATGTTATTATAGTTACCTGGCATGTTGGAACCGGGAGGCATTCCACTAGGGGGTTGCATCGGGTAGCCTTGTTGTCCCATACCCATTCCCCCCGTACCACCCATGCCCATGCCCATACCCATTCCCATGGATGGATTCATGCCTCCTCCATAACCTCCCATACCCATACCACCCGGAGCATTGCCCATACCCATACCTCCTGGAGCGTTGCCCATACCCATACCTCCAGGAGCGTTGCCCATACCCATACCCATACCCATGCCCATACCAGGACCCATCATGGAGTTTGGATTAGGTCTAAGAGCGCCAGCACCAGCACGACCTATGCCTGAACCTGATCCCATGGCTTTACCCATATTTACAGTTGATGTTACAGGTGCGTTGGTGGGTTTTTCCATTCTCTTTTCCTTCCTATTAATGGACTCAAAGTCAATCCCAATATCTGATAACGGATTAGTTTTAGCTGCATGTAAAAAAGCATAATAGTTAATAGTTTGTTCATATAATCTAACTGAAGTATCATAAATTGACAAAGTATAAGCACTCACGTCCAGATATATTTAAATTAACCAGCCCCCTGCTTAGGGTATCTGCCCAAACTGTTGATTTTGTCTCAAACTTATCCTTGGAAGGTTGAGAAACTAAAGAATTTGATGTCATTGAAACAGCATATGGTGAAGCATTGGGAGCAGGTGCTTGATGGGTATGTGATGAACTTAAGGGAGCTGCATTCCCTTGTTGCCCAAAGAAGCCCTGGCTGTTAGAAGGAGAACCGGTAGATCCGCCATGATGGGGAAAGTTTGTGATTTGTGCCGGTTGTTGTGCAGGTTGTGGTGTTGGAGCTTGGGGAGTCATGTGTGAAGGAAAACCTGTAGAGGATCCCTGTGGCAAGTAGTTCCCACTGTTCATAGACCCATTATATCCATTTTGTGATTGAGAATACATGTTTGGAGCTCCTGGAGCAAGAGATGTATCCAGAGAGTACAACCCACCATAGGTATGACCGCTTGATTGTACAGATTGACCACCTTGAGAAGCATAAGGTGCCTGCATAGAATGGCCGGTAGATGACGAAAATCCTTGCAAGCCAGGTTGACTAGGATGAGAAGGAAAGGGTGGCTGTGTTTGTGCATATGGACTGGTGTTAGCTGGAAATGATGAATTGGGAGTTGAAAAGGGTTGCTGGTTAAATTGACTGCTGGGAAGGGTTTGTGCAGGTTGACTGGTTGCAGCTGAGAAACCTGGCAGAGTAAGTTGACCAGCTGGTTCAGAAAATGGTCCAGATGAAGTTGAAAAGGAAGGTGAAGGTTGGCCAAAAGGAGATGAACTGTTTTGTTGTGATGTCATCTCAGGTAATGGTGCAGGAGGAAGAATGTCAGCAAGAATATCAGTTTCCAGTTGTTGCGATGATGACTCTTGGGACAAAAAGTTGGAGTTAGCGGAGAAAGGTTGGGCGTCACTGGTAGCAGATGCAGAGTATGGTACTATAGAAAATGAGTCCCCAAATCCAAAGTTAGACATGGTGTCGGCATTAAAACCATCTGATTGGGATGGTTCAATACTCTGATTTGCATAGTGTTGAGATGGAGCAGTTTCAGCAGAAGTATCGGCCTTGAATGGCGAATCACCAAATGGGTCTTCAAAAGACTGCCAAAAGTTGAACCAACAGATAGATTATTTTGAATGAAAATTAATAATTTAACAAATAGAGTTATAGATATATCATACAAACCATTCAAAGCTATGTTCTGAAATAGCCCCTTCTAGATTTAGAAAACCAATTTTCAGAATTCTAACTATTCAGTTTTGTAAAACAAACAGGTTAATTATTAAGTTATATGGTACATCTCTTAACAGAAACTCTACCACCCACACAATAGTTACAGCTACGTATGCTAAATCAAAAAGGATGGACACAAGGCATAAATGTGGCAATCAGAAGAACTCCAAGGCACAAACAAATTAGTTCTCTTTTTTGGTACTGTCTTAAAAGATAGAAAGAAAAGAATTCTTTAACTAAAACGAAAATTAATCATCCAGATGTCTACCTGATTGAAATTATTGGACCCAAATGATGGTGCTGCAAAGGAAGCTGTTGTACCATTGTTTGCTTCAGGGGTTGCAGTTGCTGGTGTATCTGGCACAGGAGGCAATGCATTTGAAGAGAACGAGTCTGATAGAGAACCAAGCAAGTCTATTTCGCCATAATTAGAGGTGGTTGGGGCGGCTGATAAGAAACATAAAGATGTTATGATTACAAACAAAGCCTACTAAAATGTTGCTTGCAAAGAAAAAAGCCCTATAGCATTGATGCAGGCTTTTTTCAAAACCATCAATATTATCCTGAAACCACAATTGACTGTAGATGATAATATGTCAACTAGGGTCGTGCCATTGATATTACAAGTATACTGAACAAAGTTATATATGACACTATAGAATCTTTACCACAAATCATGATGTACTATTCAGTTATATGCTACTCATATTACATACATATGATATAAATGAAAAAAAATTGTGATTATGAGCTATACTTGAAACTAGCCAACATAACATGAAAACAAGCAACTTTACAGACCTGATGTAGGGCCACGCGGGTCAAAGAAATCATCAGTGGGCTCAGTTTCCTGGGTTCCAGAAGCAGTGGTACTGGTAGCAGCAGTTACTTCAGTTGGATTATTGCTTACAGGAGAAGATCCAGTGGGAGCATAGGTTAGGCTAGGATTATCACTTGCATGAGGGGACGAGCCTTTTGGAGCAGATTCTGCCGAAGGTTCAGCAACCCTGCAATCAAGATATTATTCCTAACAGGTTCAGTTTGAACAAGTGTTGCCAGTCCATGGTATAGAAGTTCATACCTTTCACCCTGCACAGGGCTCTGAGCTTCACCAACAGCCTCTTCATATGTAGGAGGAGCACCCACATTTTGCTCAGAAAGCTTCCGCTGAAGTCTGATCATTGGTATTGCACATTATCAATATAAAAGTGCCTAGAAAAAATGTGTACACGAGAGAGTGAGAGGGTATCCCTGACAAATTTACCTTGCTTCCAGTGATTGGTCTTCAACTTTAGCATTGCTGCCTCTGAGAAAACATTGCATAAAAAGGTCAAGTTAGAAGCATCGATGATATATATCAGAGAACAACTAAAATAACATCAAGCCTTTACTTGTTTGCTTTGATAATTGTTGGAATTGGAAATGAGATTAGCAGTGAACTACTTAGTTAGACACATTAAACATCAACTAAAATATTTCAAATATATTCACGCAGAAATTTATTAAGGTCTGTTTTTATTGATGATTAGAGCTAGCAAACAATCAGTACAACCTTTTTTTTTTAATTCAAAGCAACAAATTTAAGCATGAGTGAGGAAGTACCAACTAAAGAATAAGAATAAACTGCTCTATTTATATTCCAGTTTAATCCAATTTAGAATAAGATCAAAACCATATACTAAATGAATGGTTTGGGCTGTCCACCCCATATATCAAAATTTCACACTAAAAAAGCCTGATGATATAAAAATTTTTGGTAAAAAATCAAAGCTATCAGAGTTGCCTAACAAGCAACATACAATTCATCAGCCTTAAGCAATAACATAAAGTAAAGATGATGAGGCTAGGATCCAGATATAAGTGAACTTCTAGAACTCTAACTATTAAACAAAGAGTCGTGTTTGGTGCTCCTAAATGCTTAATATGGAAAGGCCCGAGGTTATAATATTCCACATCGATGAAGATTATAAGGGTAGTGCGTATTTTAAGTTGCCAATTCAGAATGGGAAAAAAATTAATAAAAAGACTTGAGACTCGGTGCAGTGCAGGTAAAACGGACCTTGAGATCTTCCTAGTGCAGCTTTTAAAAGAAATTATCTTTCAGATTTCATGGATTAAGCTTATTATAATAATTTATCAGAGTTATTATATAGGCTTTACCGAGATGAGTGTTGGCCATCCTCATCGAAATCACGCTCTCGATCAGAACTCCTACTTCTTGTATCATATTGGTAGTCAACACTTCGACTTCTTCCCCTGTCATCATCTCTATAACCGTCCCTGCTATTACGCTCCTCATAATCTCTACCATATCGATCTCCATCGCGACTGTACCGATCATCATCTCTAGAGCCCATTTCTCTTTCTCTTCCATAACCATAGCCATTTCTATCTTCCTCCCTGCTCGCATAACGATCATCTTCATACCGATCACCATAGTTTCCGCTGCTTGAGTGTGAACCAGGTCTATACATTCCACCTGGTGTATTGTTACGAAACCTGGTAAATTGTTTAAGAAAATTAATATCTCATTGTGATATTAGATTGAGTTTAACGGATATACACTCAGTTTTAAACAGACATCCAATGAGAGACCACAATTTTCCATGTCATACCACCAGTTTAAAAATGATCTTACAAGAAGTGGAGTGATTTCGCAAAATAAAGGATTTTCATTGGATGTCGGTGTATAACTGTTTTATAGTGACAGTGCATATCCTTTAAATCTTTTTAAATTTATAATCCAGAAATAATGAAGCAAGATTATGAATCTTCCAAAACTGAGGAAAATTGGAAAGAAAGAATGTTAAAATATACTATATGATGCTTTCTAAATAAGGGGATTGATGTGGAAGTTATATAACAACTAGAAAATAACAGTGTACAAGATATCGGTAAAAATGTTGAGAGGAGACTTACTTTTCCCTATTAACAGAAGCCTTTTGCCTAACCTCTACGATTCTTTCTTTATCATTCACAAGGATAACGAGACTCTGAGATTTTTTTCTGACATTGTTTCCTTGATCTCTTCCACTTGAGTCAATATATTGAAAATCGGACAAAGTCTGTTCATATGAAGATTACACTCTTATCAGGTTGCATTATAATATTTTCTTTCATGGCAATGGACTAACATGGAAAATTAATAAATAGGTAAAAGTTGAGTGAACAAAAATTACCGATATTTGATAAGCATGTTCTCTGATGTCATCTATGACTCTCTCAGAACCATGAGCCACCAAATACTCCAGTACTGTCAATGCCTGTTCATGAACGGTGAGCAGTTAATATAGAAACATAAGAAAATAGCTATTATTTTATACAGAAACACCAATCAGTAAATGATGCAGAAGGAAAAAAACAAGACAGAGTAATGTACAACCATGCAACAACCCTTCATTTTTTCAAAGAGTATAAACATGCATCAAGACAAATTTAATAAATGGGGTACTTTATGGGGGAACATTGAAGTGTTGATGAAATAGAACATGGCACTAGAACAATAGAAGGTGAAGATTACTAGCAACACCTGGGGGTACTTACAACTAGAACATAAAATATTCCAACTAATACCTTGTAGACGTGCCGCCAATTCTTGCCAGTGTCGTTAATTCTTTTCCAGATTACTGACATGATCATCTGGTATTCATGACTGCAGGTCCACTAAAAAATGAGAATCTATGGAGTGAAACACAAAATATCTAGCATAAAATTGAGAGGCCTAAGCTTACGGATTTCTGGTTGCCTGAGCTATGTCTGCAAGAAGTGTTCCATGAGGACCCCATGGTTCATTGCTGGTAGCATCAAGAACCTGGTAGAGAGGATAGAAATCAACAAATCTAATTTAATTTAAGGTTATAATACACAAAAACGACAGACTACATTTACTTCATGAAAAAAGCATCACGTGAAAATATGATCATACTTCACATAAATCCTTACACCCACTTTCACAATATGATTGGTAAAACCATATACATAGTTTCATACCAAACTTTCCAAATAAGAATAACTTTACCTTCTGTTCAATGCCAGGAACTTTGAGCACTTTCTTGTTCACTTCTCTTTTACTGCAAGAACACGGACAAATAGTAAGACATTAGGAAATAGGATTGGGGTCTAAAATAGTAATAAACACCAAAAGTAGCAACTACATATTATATAGTTAATAATCAATTAATGCTAACACTTACAGGTCCCTAACAGTTTGACCAATAACCTTCTTCATTGTAGCAGCTGGTATTCAGTACAAGCTACAAACCAGCACCAAAAGGCTCACTGCGATCTACAAAATAAAATCCACTTCAAATTTCACCACGTATCAAAATAAAAGCTCAGAGTATCACAACAGCAAAACCTTAACTTGAATTCCAAAAAATATATTTTGAGCCATCATTCTCTGATTACCACATAACTAATATTAATAAAAATGCCAATAAATCACAGATTCAGAATCAGCAATAGAAACCAGCATCAAACATGTAAACAATTTAAAATCCAATCCTTATTCCAATTCAATTACATAAAATCCTATACAAAAAAAATAATAATCAACATAAGAGATTCAATCAAAAATAAAAAAATAATAATAAAAAACAATTCCTACACGAATTTCTTAACATCAAAACACCATATCACATCTGACAAACGAAAATTCATTAAAAAAAAAAGTGCAACATGAAAAATTCAAGGTCGGTGAGCATCGAAATCAATCAGAAAGAATCAGGAAACGAAATCATAACAAGAAAAGAGCAAATAAAGCCTAAATCAAATCCTCGCAGCTAATTATTCCAATTCTAATCAAATTAAATTCGAATTCTGATAAATTCTAAAACAAAGCAAAATCATAATAACATTGTTAAGCAAAATCATAAACAAAGCAAAGATTAAAATGATTATAACAAGAAAATCAAAGAAAAATGAAGCAAGATCGACTCACGAAATGCCAGATCTGGAAAATGGATCGAACCTGATCAGATCCAAACGGAAGAAACTCGTTCGTCGGTAGAAATGGAAGAATCAGAGATGTAGAGAGAGAAAGAAGAGAGAGAATGAGAGAGAGATCGAAAAATCAATCGCAATGACCTCTCTTCTGAGTTGTTGTTATGTATGTCTCAAAAGATTAATAGTATAAAATTACGTTCTGTGGAAAAGAAAAGAAAAAATAAAACAGCAAAAAATTCTCTCTTTTTTCTCTCTCTATAATTTCGGAGTTGTTAAATAAATGGAAGCAAAAAAGGACGAGAAAGACAACGCAACTTACACGCTCATGGGAATAATTTAGATCCTTATTTTATTTATTATTACTCTTGCTTTCTAATTGTAATAATAGAATATTTCTTTCCATTTTTTATTTAAATGTTTTATTAGACTCGTGATAACAATTTTTCCTTTTTTGAAAATTGATTTTTGGTTATTTTTAATTATATTTGTTATAATTTTGATTAATTAAAATTTTAGCCTCAAAAAAATGTGATCTATTTCCCTAAAAATAATAATTGTTACTTTAATTTTAAATCTAAAAATAAGAATTTCAGAAAAAAAATATTTTTCTTTTTCATCAGAATTTAGAAAAATTAGGCGCGACAAACAAAGTCGTAAAATCTATATATTTTTTTTAGCTAGTATTTTAATTACGTAAAATAATAACAACGATGTGAGTGCATCCATTCGCGGAAGGTGTGTGTATTTTGAATTCAAGTTCAAAGTCTCACTGTTGACAGAAATGTGCAATCTAATTCTTTAATCTTTTTGTGGCTGGCAGAAAGGAAAATATGTGATCCAATAAATAGTTTTTTTCAAAGTTTATGGGACGCGTTCAAATTAGGTAAACTTGTTGCGATAATAAAATGAGATAAAGGCTTGGAATATTTTACTTTTTTTATTTAAAATATTTATTTTATTTCAATTTAATTTTGAATTCTACCGAATGATTTATGTTTATTTTATATAAATAAAATGTACATAGATTACTTTTATTCGACTCTGGTGACTGGTCAAATCAAATGTACTATGTACACATGTGTGAAGACCAAATTTGACATTTCTTTACCGAATTTTTATATTAAAATTTATAAAATTTAATAAATTGTGTTTCTTCAATTAATATATGTAAATACAATTAAAAATATATAATATCGTAAAAATAGTAGTTCGGGTTGAAAATTCAAACACAATTATGGAGAATTTTACTAAAAAAAAAAGTAAACGTTGGAGAAAAAGAAGATCAACAATTTTTTGCAGAGAATTCTCTACCCATAAACTGTAAAAATTCTGTTATTTCACTTGTAACTACGAAATATTTACAAAATACTGCGAAATAAACTGCACCCCAAGTCAAAACTCAAACTATAAAAGCCCAAAAATATATAATCTAATCTTTCTAAATCAAATCTAATCTTTCTAAATCAAATCTAATCTTTCTAAATCAAATATAATATATATAAAACAATGAATTGCATATTTAACACATCACTTAATTCATTGTGTTTAAACTATTTACATTCATCATAGACTTTAACTTTTTAAACACTTTGACTAACACTCTCTTTGTCATGATGTCTGCAATCTGATTCTGAGTTCTGCAGTGTTTCAAATTCATCTTCCCTTCTGCTACCTGCTTTCGAAGATAATGAAACCTCATTTTGATGTGCTTGTTTTGACCGTGTGTTATTGTATTCTTTGTCAAGTTGATAGCTGACATGTTGTCGACCTTCATGGTAATTGCTCCATGACTCTTCGTTGTAATCTCTTCGACCAGATTCACCATTCAGGTTGCTTTACATGCGCAAAGAGAAGCAGTTATATATTCTACTTCGCATGATGACAATGCCATTACTGGCTCCTTTCTCGAACTCTAAGCAACTGGTGCACCACATAGCATAAATACATAGCTAGTTGTGGATTTTCTATTCTCAACATCACTACACCAGCTAGAGTCGGTGTGTCCCACTAACTTGCATTCTTTTTCTTCATCAGCTGTAAGAAACAAAATGCCATAGTCGAGAGTCCTTTTCAGATACCTCAGTATCCTCTTCGTCGGTGCTAGGTGTGATATCTTTGGCTTCTGCATGAATCTACTTACCATACCCATATTGTATACTAAGTCAGACCTTGTGTGACAAAGGTATCAAAGTGACTCAATAAGTCATCTATATTAAGTTAGATCGACATCATCTTCATCTGAATCCTTCGACAGTTGCAATCTGGTTTCAGCTGGAGTCGAAGTTGGGTTGTAATCTTGCATCTCAAATCTCTTGATTATTTTGCCTGCATATCTTCTTTGGTGCATCATCAAACCTCTACTAATCTTGTAAAATTCAATGCCAAGGAAATATGAGAGATTTCTCAAGTCTGGCATTTCAAACTCCTCACACATTACTTTCACCCGCTTCAAATCTTTCAATGGCTCAGCTGCATTAATTGGTTCAGCATTTGCGTAGAAAGCATAATGTACTAGATCACCTTCTTCATCGACCATATCATTTGATATAATCACACATTCTTGCAACCTTGTAGACATGTGTCTTGTTCGTCGAGGTCTGCTTGGGCCAGCTTCATCTCTGATTTGTTCCTGTCAAACTTCACTTTCAACTTCAGTGGATGGTTCTTCACAAGAGATTCTCACTTACTCCTTCTTGACATTCTCAGTTCAATCTCATTCTTTAAGCTCATTTATGATCACATCCCTATTGATTACTATCTGTTTATTCACTGGGTCGAACAACTTCTAACCTCCAATCGAATGATATCTTATCAAGATCATTTACTTCGACTTATCATCAAACTTCCTTCTCAACTTATCTGGCACATGTCTATGTGTTATAGATCCAAACATCTTCAAGTGACTGAGGTTAGGCTTGACATTAGACCAACATTCTTCTGGTGTGATTCCTTCAAGCTTCTTCATCGGACATTTGTTTAATATGTATGTTGTTGTCGAAACTGCTTCTCCCCATAACTCTTTAAATAAATGCTTTCCATTCAACATACTTCACATCATATTCATAATGGTTCTGTTATTTCTTTCTGCAATTCCATTTTGCTGTTGAGTGTAGGGTGGCACCACCTCATGCACAATCCCTTCTTTTTCGCATAATGCATCGAACTCTTTCAACACATACTCTCCACCACCATCAATCCTCAGAATTTTCAGCTTTCGACCACTCTGTCTTTCGACCAAAGATTTGAATCTAGCAAATACCTCGATCATATCACTTTTCTTCTTTGTGAGGTAAGTCAATAGCTTTCGACTGTAATCATCTATGAACATGACAAAGTATTTGTTGCCTGCAATCAAATACACCTGTATTGGACCACATACATCAGAGTAAATGACTTCCAGAATTGTCTTCGACTTCCTTCCTGCATCATTGTTAAAGTTATTCTTGTGTTGTCACGAATGAACACACTCTTCACAAACTTCACTTGGAATGTCGATTTCAGGTAATCTTAAAGCCATATTTCTCCTATTTAGTTCTCTGATGTCATTGAAGTTAAGATAGCCTAGTCGAAAATGCCATAACCATTCATCTCTGCTGGCTGCAGTTTCTAAGCACTTGTGCTCCATCATATTGAGTTCAATCTTGAAGGTCCTATTCTGAGACATTGGAGCCTTCAAGATCAACCTACCACCTGCGTCAAGAACTCTCATCATCTTGTCTTTGATCGACACCTTGTAGTTTTTTCGACTAGCTATCCTATACTGAGTAAATTACTCTTCATACCTGGTATGTACAACACATTGGAAATTGTTGACCTTTTGCCATCTTTCATCATAATCAAAACATTGCCAATACCTTCAGCTGCTAGAGTATTGTCATTTGCAAATTTCACCATGTATTTCGACGAGGGCTTCATGTTGATAAACCAATCTTTCCTTCTAGTCATGTGCGATGAGCATCCTGAGTCCAAGTACCATTAGTCCTGAAATCTCTCTTCATCTATTGTTATGATCATTAACAACATCTCTTTTTATTCATGTTTTGCCATCTTTGTATCAGTTTCTTGATTCTTCTTTTTTTCTCGACATTCACTAAAATAGTGACCATACTTCTGACAATTGAAACATCGAATGTGACTTTTGTCAGGCTTTCGTCCACCAGATCTTCCTCTACCTGTAACACCACCTCTTTGGTTGCTTTGATTCGACCAGTTTCCTTCCTGCTGATTTCAACCAGACAAATTGTTGTAGCATCCTCTACCTTTGTTGCCATTCCAGCTTCCTTT